CTCCTTATTAAATATCGCAATATTTCCAAAGATATTTTTCCAAAGATAAAATTTTCGAAAGAAAAATCAATAAGCATTTGACTTTTTTGCAAATTAGATCCTATTTTATTACCTGTATTACTTGAATGCTTTATTCAATATTTTAGTTTGTGCTGGGTATAAAAGAGATGAATTGTAAAGGTGTTGAGGTATATGGCGAAAGGGATTGGGATTAAAATTAAAATTTCACCCACAAAATACACCATCAATCCACTTTACAATATATTCTGTGAAGCGCTTTGAGGCATCTCAAGGACGTGATAAGGTGTTATATGCAAAGATTATTATTATATTTATTTGTTTGTTTATTTATCAATTGTAAAAGACTGGTGGAAGGGCTGAATGGCTTCTTCCTGTTCCTGTATACCTTAATTTTGCTTTTGCTATAATAATAATGTGGCTATACATATACATATTATATATTATAAAAACATTATACTGTATATCCTGAACTTCATATTGTTACTATAAAGATTCACTGAAATATTGTTTTGGTTTTTTATCTCGCAGCAATGTTTGGAACATTCTGAGAAGCTTGGAGCTCACTTGATACTGATTCGAGACCTGGAATTGCAGCTGGAGAGTCTGCCACCAGTTGACAAGGATTTGGAAATCCTTTGGGAACAACTCGATAATCTCACGGTGAGTGATCCGTTCAGTGGAGACCTAACTCGAACTGTAATTGAAGTGTAGTTAACTCTGTTTAATTGTAACGGAATGATATTGCATTTCATTTAAGGTTTAGCTGCAAAAATGAAAGTGTGCACTGTGGGTGCATGTGGCAGATGATTTCTGCACAGCAGCGCTCCACAAATCAGCCATGATGTGAAATGACCAATTTTATCTGGTTTTGGAGTCTAAATGTTGCGATCCAGTGATCCCTTCAAATAATATGAATTATCTGAACACATACTGGCAGTGGTTGACCCACCTTCGGACACTGTTCTCGTTGCCCAATGTCCCAAAGCCAGGCGTCTTCTGGCTCGAGACTTTAGACCGCTGTTTAGCATTGATAACTGCCTCACTGAGAGCTGTTTCCGCGTCCTCTATCAGGATTTCTGCAGTTAATTATAAGCTTGATGTTTCCCCCTCCCTCTCCCCTCAGTCATTCAAGTTGGAAGTCCAGGCCCTGAGCGAGCCAGTAACAGCTGATCTGAGGGCGGCCCGAGAATTTGGGGAGAATTGTGTCCAGAATGTTCCGGAAGGCTTGCTGAAGATGCTAGAAGCAGAGTGCGGAAATATCCAAAGCTCGCTCGCTACTCTGACCAAGAGTGCCACGGAGAGGGTAGACATGCTGGTGACTGCAATAGAAAATGAGCGGGTAAGAGGATTGTATTCGGAGTGTTTGAAATTAAAATTTTGCGCATGCACTATGTAAAATAATACAACAATTCTTTTTTTTAACTTCAGATCAAGATCAGGACGTCACACCAGGATCTTCTCGATCGGCTATATCAGCTTTCTGATGCTGTCAGAGGCAAAGCAGCCTCTAGTCTGGATTCTGATATCTCTGGTGACTTGCCGTCTCTCAAAAGACGTTCGCAGCAACATAAGGCAAGTCATGTCGCAATCGTTTTGTTAAAATACATCGAGAGCTTATTTTACAATTGGAGGACAATTTTATTTTAATAATCCATTTGTTTGGAGTACATTGGTAAATGCTGTGCCGCGTTAGGTCCTATGTAAATGCAAGTTGTTGCTGTTGTAATAGGACCTTTCAAGTCGGACGTACAGCCCAAGCACTTCGCAGGATATGCTCTAAAGCACCGAGACTCTATGTTTTATGGTTGAACTTTATTTGTTGATAACAAAGCAATGTTGTGTGAGATGGGGTGGGGGCGGGCGGGAGGTGTGCATGTAAGCTCCTCAATGAAATGGAACACAGAAGGAAGCGGGAGCTGGGCTCACCGCTAGGTAGAAGCAGAGCTGCTTAGCGAGATGGAGCAGAAAGTGACGTGAGCAGGTGTCAGCCTGGCTCAATTGGTAGCGCTCTCGCCTCTGAGTCAGAAGGTTGTGAGATCAAGCCCCATGTTGTTCTTCAAGGGTCTGAGCAGGTAACTGCTGTGATGTTGTGGTCGCTTACTGAATGGGGTTTTGCTTGTTTTTGCAGGACTTTAAAGACGGCCTGACTGAGGTAAAGGTTCAGCTGGACAGCACTGCTTTTGACATTCAGGACTTCATTTCCGAGCACGCGGCAGACCTCTCCCCCCAGGAGAGCAGACAGCTGCTCAAGCTCCTCAACAGCACCCAGATGGCTTTCAGGGTTGTGATGGAGAAGTCTTCAGCTCAATCTGAGGCCTTGAGTCTTCAGCTACAGATGAGGCTGGAGCTGGATGACCAGAAGGTTTGATTGGTTTGATTGAGAAAATAAAAAGACGAATTGGAGTGATGTCTAACATAGTTGCAAAGCTCTCGTGTTAAGTGTTAAGAGTTTGTTTGTCATTGTAAAGTGGAGTCCTGTAGCATAGTGGCTAGTGTGCTTGTCTCGCAAACCAGAGGACACGGGTTCAATTCCCGGCAGGGCGAAACCTTAGGCAAGTTTCCTTACTCCACACGCCTCTGTTTACCCAGCAGTAAGTAGGAACCCAGCTGTTGGTCGATTGGCAGATCGCTTTCCGGGGCTAATAATCCCTCCATAAAAAAATAACTCATAATTTGGTCACTCAGTCCACATTTGTGGGACGCTGCTGTGCACAATTGGCTGCCACATTTCCTCCACAAAATATACAGTCAATTCATTTTACAGTATATTCTGTGAAGCATTTTAAAACGTCTCAATGACGCGATAACGCCTGTATCAAATGCAAGGATTATTATTACTATTAAGGGAATTGTCAAGCTCGATAATAGACATTTCCTTCCAGTAGAGAGATCAAAAATGAGGAACGGAATAGAGAATGTGAGATCAGAAAACAAGTTGTTCCTAAACTCCCTTGTAGATCTACTACTTATATTTATGTCACCTTGTTTTGTCCTGGCCGACAAGTGGAAACAGCCTGTTAACATCCTGTTGTCCTGGCCAGCAATCCTGAGAGAGTAATTGGAAATTCACCTTGTGGCTGTTTGTGATGCAGATAGGTGATGTGTTTATCTGCGAAAGCAATCCTTGACTGTAATTACTCTGAAGCTCTTTGAGGCATTCTGAGTTGTTGAATGCAAATTACATTGAATAACATAGAGTGATGCAGCACGGAAATGGGCCATTCGACTCAACTACTCCGTGCCTGTGTTTGTCCTCCACACGAGTTAGTTTACTATTTACCTTTACAATTCGCCTCACCTACATCCCTCGCTTCCTTTCTCCCACATGTCAAGTTCTTTCTTTCTCTTGCAGAGGGCAGTTCAGTTACTTTGCACATCTTTGTTCTGGTCCTGCTTTGATCTGAGTCGTTCTTGCTTCTGTTTTCCCTTCTAATTGAATGCTGCTCTGTGTTTTTGTGCTCAGTATGTTATACAATACTGCTTGGCAAATGTTGATCCTGCTTGAGTGCTAACAGTGATGGACTTATCCTTGTGATACTTATAAATAAAAACAGGATAACTTGCAGGACCAAAATGTGCATTGAGGTCAGAGACGACTGACTTGGTGAGGGTCTAGCTGAGTCAACTTGCTCACTCCTGTATCACGAGAGGCAGATTCAGTGTGAAGCATTGAACCACTAAACGTGTGCTGACTGAGCTAATGGTTGAACCTGGAGCCTAGGATGTTGAAGGCCTCCAAGCTGAGAGATTCCAGTGGGAGCCTTGCATCCAACTGTATTCAAAAGGATCTTTGATAAGGTCGCCTGTCTGGTGACCTTCAATGTGGACCTTCTGCCCAAGACCGAGACATCACTGTGAGGGAGCTGAGGCAGAGCGCTCATGCCCTTTCACAGCTCCCTCTGGGGGGTTGCAATGAAACGTGCTCGAGTGGTCATAGTTGTGAGATTTGATTTTCTGTTGTGTTAAGGGAATATGTGCAATTTTTGTACAAGTAAAACTGTACGTGTTTGTGTGTGTTGTCTGCGTGTGTGTTTGTGTATGTGTGTGTTGGGGGAGCTGTGAAATATGGTTTGTGATTTGACAATTATCCTTACGAGTATCAATGAAAATCTTGAAGCAGGACTGGGAGGCTTTGGATTTTTAGTCTTTTTCGCCAGACGGTGGCCTGAGAAATAATTCAAGCATTTAGAAGTTGTAAGTTGAAGAATTCCTTCCATCAAAAGATTCCCTTGTTGCATTAAGGTAAAACATGACTCTCCTAACATTGTTAATGGACTGGAGGGAGAAACTATTCTTCGGAAGCTGAGGGATTGGGGTTAGCCCACAAAATACACATTCACTCCATTTTACAGTACATCCTGTGAAGCGCTTTGAGACGTCTCAATGACTTGATAAGGCACAATATCAAATGCAAAGATTATTATTATTTATTAGTCTGTCTGTGATAATTAGCACATCACATACCTTATTTTCTCTCTCCTCCCCTCCGCCATAGAATTATTTACTGTACTTCAATGCTATGTGCTGATGTATATGACTGTGAGTTGAATATTTTTAACAACTGGTGAGATCGTGAGCATTTATGTGCTGCCTGGACTTGAGACTTTGCAAAGTGTGACTAACCCTGTTCTGTAGACCTTTTCACAGATGCTCTCTGCGGCGTTACTCACTGGCAGTGCCTTCGGGAAAAGAGTCTGGGAGTTTAAACACCATGTGAACCAAATGCAGCTGCCGTCTTCCTGCTTGCATGATTGCGTCTGTGAATTGCAACACTCATCTGCTGAATGACAAAGCTAACTACTTTGTGAGACAAATCCTCTTAAATGCCATTTTCGTTAGCTGGAGCTCCAATTATTCGCTCCTTGTAGATTGTTTACAGCATACATTGGTGAGAGAGTGCAGGACTTGACAGTTGGGTTGTGTGAAGTGTGCTAATCGATGTCCCCTTCCTTTGCGCGTGTGTGTGTGTGACTGAACAGGCTTTTGAAGAGCAGCAGCAAGAATGCAATGAACAACTGCAAAAAATGTCCAATTGGCTGAAACAGACGGAGAACAGGATAATGGGCTACGCCGTGGGTTCAGTTGCAACTGATAACTTGGGTCACCTGCAGCAGTATCAGGCAGAGGGACGGGTTAGTAATCTGTAATGGTATTCATTCGGTAGAGGTGAAAATCAATACATTGTGTGTCAGCCTGGCACGGTTGGTAGCACTCTCGCCTCTGAATCAGAAGGTTGTGGGTTCAAGCCCCACATTGGGACTTGGAATCACAAAGTCTAAGCTGATGTTCCAATACAGTGCTGGGGGAGTGCTTGGTGTCTCAGGTGCCGCCCTTTGGATGAGATGTTAAACCGAGGTCCCATCTGCCTGATCAGGATGATGTTAAAGATCCCATGGCACTATTTGAAGGCCTGAAGGCCAGACTGCCAATGGTGGGTCGGGCGGGTTGTGAGGCCATGAAGCTGGCTAGTCCCTACCAAAAATAACGGGTAGCCCAGCAGCGTTTGAATCACTGTGAGGAGTGCCGTGCAGCACAGTACAGGCCACGTCACTCACCATAACATAAGCTCTATTGTGTTCCAGGCTTTACAAAAAGAAATTCAGGCCAATGCAGCAACTTTAGCAAATGTAATCAAGGTGACTGAGCGCTTCCTGGAGGAGAGCGGGGTCAAACTGCAACCCGAACAAAGAGCAGAGATTGAAAAGAAACTCGAAGAAGCGAAATCAAAGTTCAGCCTGTTGAGCGAGCAAACTGAGTCCAACCTCAAGGAGCTGGAGAAGGCTGTAACAGCTGCTGTCAAACAGGAGACGGAAAAGGTGGGAATGTATTATGTTGTCACAGAGTTGCATGGAATTACATATGGCACAGAAACAGGCTGTACGGCACAACACCAAAAGATTGCAAATAACATACCCTTTAACTTCTTTCATGAAATAGTTTGTAATTTGAGGCTGACGCATTTATCTGAGAGAATTATTCGATAACAGTTATGTCACTTGTAATAGGTTGCAGCGGTGGAACAGTTAGAGGAAAACAAGAGCAAAATCGAAGGACTCCTGGGTTGGTTGTCCGACATAGGGAAGGAGCAGTTGGCTGAACACAACGGGAAAAAAGCCCTGCAGCAAAATGGCAACGAGATCCCTGCAGGTGGATTGGGAAAGCTGGAAAATGAGGATTCAATGAATGGAAACATGCCTCATGACCAGACGGAGACGGGGAGAGATGAAGTGGATCAGCCAACGACTGATGGAAATTTGACCCAACAATATCAAAAAGCCAAGGTAGGAACTGAAAGTGGAACTCGACTTGAATCCTATGACATTCTTGCTTCCATTTATCTCTCTTTCCAAACATCCCCATTGATTCCGGCATTAATGGATTCTGGAGAAAGAGGGTTTGTGGCAATCTAGTTTTTAAGGGGTAGCACTACAGCACTCAGTTGGTAGCACTCTCACCTTTGAGTCAAAAGGTTGTGGGTTCAAGTTGACACTCCAATGCAGTGCTGAAAATGTGCTGCGTTATTGGAGGTGTTGTCCTTCAAATGAAACGTTAAATAAAGATCCAACCTGCCTGTTCAGGTGGATGTTAAAGATCCCGTGGCACTATTCAAAAGGAGCAGGGAGTTTCTCCCAGGGTCCTGGCCAACATTCCCCCAAATAAAATTAGTCATTCATTTCTTGGCTGTTTCTGGGACATTGCTGTGTGCAAAATTGTTGCCCCATTCGGCTACAAATACAGTCACTGCACTTATATTCTGTGAAGTGTTTTGTGACGTCCTCCAAAGGCACTATACCAAATAAGGATTATTATTAAATTGGTCGAACTCTGCTAACCAGTACACTGATGAAAGATGTGACTAGCTTCGAGCCCAACTATTATTGGTAGAGTTTTGAGGTCGGGGGGAGGAGAAGGTTATAAAGCTTTGACCAATATCAATTTGGACTTGGTTTTCAACTATGTGCTAATTAACATATCACATTAATGTATCCCAATTTTCAGCCCAAAAGGAGTAATATGTACTGAACTGAGGGAAGGATTGACTTGATTGATGCAGTCTTTTGCTTTGGGTTTACTCTTCGGTGGGATGAGGTATGGCAAAGTGGTCGCGAGTCTTAAAGCCCTTTTTGGTTTGTCCATAGGCTCGACATCAAAAGGTACTGTCACGTCAGCAGTCCTACATCATATCCACACAGTCAGTCCAGGATTTCCTCAACAAGAAGGGACACAACATGCTGCCTGCCGAGCGGGAGAGATTGGAGAGGAACTTGAGTGAGTTGAAGGTTCAGTACGAGGCCGCACTGACCCATTCTGAGCGTCGTGTCAGACTGATCCAGACCGTGCAGGACGAGCTGCAGAAATTTTCGGCCGATCACGGCGAGTTCGAAAACTGGCTCCATCAATCGGAGTCGGAGTTGGGGGAGCTGCAGTGCCCCGCCCCCGACCTGGACACCCTCAGCGGCAAGCTGCAGAGGCAGAAAAGCTTCTCCGAGGATGTCATCTCCCACAAGGGCGACTTACGCTACATCACCATTTCAGGCCAACGCGTTCTGGACGCCGCCAAGTCCTGCAGCAGGTCGGACCACGGCAAAGAAACCAAAGATGATGTGTCTGCTGCCTGCCTGGCAGTGCAGAGCAAACTGAAAGTGTCCAGCGAGCGCTTTAAGTCTCTGCACTCCAAGGTAAAGTTTCTCCATCAACATTCAGCGAGGCTTGCACCCAATTTGAACAGAACCGAGTCTTGTGAAGCCATGTGCCTTTGTGGGGCGCCGGGAAGTATTTCTTTGCACAGAGGGTGATTGACAACTGGAAAGGTTACAGGAAGGGTCGTGAGGGCCAGGGGGAATCTTTACACTCAACGTTTTTAAAGTTTACATTTTTTTAAAGTTTAGCAATTTTAAATTTAGAGGATCTAGTTTAAATTCCTCGTTCTTACTTTTAAAGCTCTCCACGGCCTTGCTCCTCCCTACCTCTGCAACCTATTAACACCGTACCAACCTGTTCACTTCCTTCACTTGACGGGCACTAACCTGCTTCATGTCCCCCACCCTGGCCGCCCCACCATTGGCAGTCGGGCCTTTGGGTTTTCTGCCTCCACCCTTTGGAGCTCCATTCTGGAATCCTTCCACCTCGCCCCCCCCTCCCTAACCTCCTTCAAGACATATCTCAAGACCTTCCTCTTTAATTATGCCTTAGGCCACAACCCCTTCCCCCTAACCTCCACCCTTCTTGATTTCAACCCCTAGCTCGGGTGCAAATCTTTACTGTCTACCACCTTGGGATGGCCTTCCGACGTGAAAGTCTCTGTATAAATGTAATTTTGTTCTTGTTGCTGTTTTAAGAAACAGCTTTTTTGTGCAATGAGAAAACAGTATAATTGGTGTTTTAATGTAACTACAGTACAATTTACACAGCACTTTCATGTGAGGAGGATGTCTGAAAGTGCTTTGTGCAGCTGGCTGGGATTGGAATGGGGTGTGGGGGGAGATGACTGAACAGGAGGGTCTATGGGATGGAGTTCCTGAGGGCAGGAGCAGAATAGATGAATGCTCACCCACCTACGGTGGCGAAGATCAGGTAAGGGACATGAAGCTCTCTGAGTGGGCTGGTGGTTCTTCTTCACCGGAGCCGGCCAACTTCCAAATTAAGATAGAATTGAAGAGTTTTCTATAGTTAAATTTAAAGAAAAAAGTGGTCTTATGGGTTAAGACAAGGTCGAATTTTGGAGCCAAGAGAGCTTAATTTGCCTGTTTGATGGTGTAACAAAAACAACTTGCGATTGTATAGAGCTCTTCATGTGGGGCAGCGTCTTGGAGCGCTTAACAATCGCAAGCCTGATCTGAGCCAGGGGGAAGGTGGAGGTGACCCTAAGCACAGTCGAAAAGGAAGTCTTCAGGTATGATCTGAAAAATGGCAAGGCAGAGGGATTGAGGGAGAGAGTTCCAAAATTTTAGAACATAGTGGCTGAAAGCCACTCGTAATTACAGCATCAGCAAAAGATGTAACTTTTGTTTGTGGTCTGTTCTTACATAACCTTCTATTAGACTATATTTGAATTTGTTTTGGAAGAAAAGTAGTGTCACTGGCAGAATTGTGTTTGTTTTTAAACCAGATGTTCTTCAGTCTGCTCTGAAAGTTGTCAAAGGTTGAACGCAACGTAAGGCAGCCTGTAATGCACATAGTGATTTAATGACTAGTCTTCCTACTCTCAAAGCACTTGAGGGAGTTGGAGGCCATTAGGTGGCATTGCCTTTTATAGCAAAATCTCATCTCTATGACTTCTTAAGGCTCATGGAATACAATACAATTCACATTTATATAGCCTTTCATGTCAGGAGGATGTCTCAAGATGCTTAACAATGCTGGGGGTGTAACCAAAGGGAATGGTAGAAGCAGGGAATGAGTCGGATGAATTTCGGGATGGATACATCTGGAGATGATCTTTATCTACATACCTACATGTATGTGTACATCTGGGATGATCTATTGTTAGAAAGCACAGGAGAGAATTTGGCTGATTACGTATGTGCTGGTGCTAGTTCCCCCTTGGGAGTTATCTGCTCGAAGCCACACTGCTATAAATCATAGCTTAACTGTAATTGTGTAATACCATTTGAACATCACTTTGCAATTCTCTAGCAAAAAGTTTAAATCCCATCAATTAGAAACAAGTGGTAACGGCATTTGAAAATTTCTCACATAATTTATTAAAGCTTAAATGCTCGTTTGTGGTAAGGTTATCTGGCTCAGATATTATTTGGCATTAAACTTTCAAAGAGTTGTGTGTTGTGAGCAAGGGAGTATTTCCCAATGTCCTGGGTAACAATCCCCCAGATAAATTGGTTCGTTCATTTCACAGCTGTTTGTGGGACATTGCAGTGTGCGAATTGGCAAATCCTGTGAAGCACTTTTAGACATTTGGATGATGTGTTAATATGGTACAGTATATGTCAATAGAAAGTTGTTATTATTAATAATTTATTAATGTCCAAACAAAGTGAATTACTGAACGCAGGAGTATTTCTGTATTGCAAGTGCTTGTCGACAGCATTCAAAGCATATTTAATAGAGGTAGCTAATCTAAATGATTTAAAAATAGAAGTAATGCTATTCTCTGACAGCAACTTGCATTTATATAGTATCTTTCACGTGGATAGTGTCTCAGAGCCTTTAACAGTGGCATGGTTTAATACTGAGCTGGGAAGTGAGGGGAGAGGCTGAAGGCACAGTCTAAGAAGAGAGTCTTCGGGTGTGATTTGAAGCCAAGCAAAAAGAGGGTAAAATGAGGCAGGGAGTTCTGAAGATTCGGGGTTGAAAACACGGCTGCCAGTGTGGAGTGGCGGGACGTGAGCCAGCTGAACGAAGGCGGTGGCTTGTGGAATAAGGTGTGAGCAGATTGGAGATGCCATGGTGTGAAGTGATTTGAAAGTGAGAGTGAAGATCTGTTCTGCAACAGGTAGCCAGTGGAGCTTGGCAAGCACTGGGATGATGGGAGTGTGAACTGGTACGAGTGAGGATAAGGGCAGCAGAGTTTTGTATCATTTCATCGTTTGGATCTTGTTTATCAGCTACAAGTGATTGTGGCTTTTGTTTTTCCCCAGTGCAATCTGTTGGGTAAAAATCTGAAGGATGTGGTGGAGCAATACAGCCATTACCAGGATATCTCCTCTGGGCTGTTGCCTTGGCTTCAAACCTCCGAGGACGCTGCAGAGAAGAACTTGACTGAGCCCATTGCCGCTGACCCTCAAAACCTGCAGAAACAACTGGAGGAAGCAAAGGTCCAATATCTCTAGATTTTCGTGGATATTGTTCAGTTTTGTTGTTGCCTTTTGTCACCCGAGTAATTTTACTTCTTATTGCGTGCAGACTCTACAGGTGCAAATATCTGGCCATCAGACTGCTGTGGAGAAGCTGAGAAAAGCTGTTGATGCCCTTATGGCTACCGATGGTGATCTCCTACTGAATCGCATGGAGATTCACGATAATGTGGGTAAGTGTTCACGCCAGTCACTGAAAATATATTGTGTATATACCATATTCTCTGGAACTCCATCTCGGAATCCCTCTGATTTGCTTGTCGACTTCCTCGCTCTCACCCACCCCACTTTCAAGATGCATCTCAAAATGTACCTCTTTGACCACACTTTCAGTCATCTTTCCCCTCCCCACACTCCCTCGGCTCCCATCCCCATCTTGGGTGCTCTTTAGGACATCCTCCCGACGTGATGGACGCTTTATAAATGTTAGCTGAATGCGGCAGCCAATTTGTGCACAGCAACGTTCCACATCATTACAGGGAGACCCTGTAATAATGCAGTGTTTTGTGACCATAAAATTAAACAGCAATAAATATCTCTTATACAGAAGATAATTCCTGCTGCGTTCTACAAAATACACAGTCACTATCCGTTACAGTAAATCTTGAAGCACTTTGTCCTCCCGATGTGAAAGGCGCTATAACAACTGCTCTGGCCTTATTTAAGACACAGCTTTGATGCTGTATTAGGAAGACTGCAGGGTGGGTATTTTGGAAATATGAGATTAAATGGCCCGAAGGTTCTTCATATATTCCTCTCTGGTGAAGAGAATTGGAAACGTGTTGTGGTTGGAAGCTGCAGCGACGCACAATGCTAGGAAGGGGGAGCAGTGGTTCACCCTACCAGACTTGCTAATGTTGGCATCAAAGCCTGTTTCTATTGGAGCATTGAATGCAATCAAAATTACAGTCTTTTGGTAATACTAATTAATAATAATACTTGTATTTGTTATAGTGCCTTATCTCGTCGTCAACTTGCCTCAAAGTGCTTCACGGGATTTTACTATAAATAATAATCCTTGCATTTGGCACTTCACAAGATACACTATAAAGTGGATTGACTATATTTTGTGAGTAGAAACACAGCAGCCAGTTTGCGCACAGCAGTGTCCTCGCAAAGAACCATGATGAAGGAATGGGGTGGTTTAGCGATTGTTCTGTGGTTGTTTTTCAACAGACGACGTGGTCCAGCGGTACGACAACTTATCCAAGTCAGTGAACGACCGCAATGAGAGGCTGCAGATGACACTAACGCGCTCCCTGAGTGTTCAGGACGGGCTGGATGAAATGCTCGACTGGATGGCCAGTGTTGAGAAGAGCCTTGAGGACCAGCAGGTGGTGCCATTGAATTCTGCTGCGATTCAAGAGGCGCTCAGTAAAAATGCCGTGAGTACAGTATTCATTTATTTGTTTATTATTTAGATTTGGGAAAAACGTACATTCTGAAAACAAAATTTACATTCTGGTAACCCTGCAAGCCAAAGCCTTAATGGGTAGAATCTTCTTAGCAGGACAAGCTGTGGGAAAGTTTTTTTTCTACACACTGCACTGACCAACAACTCTTGGGGTGAACATGTGGAAGAATAAAGATAATTGTATTTAGAAGTTCTTAATTGTATGCTGTACAAGTGTTTAACTGTAGTTAGACATCCAGAAGGTCAGTGTGAGTCAGAGCCATCATTTTCATGATAGATAATGATCCGTCGCCATGCTCGAAGTGGCATTTTCCATAACATGGATCGATGGAGCGAGGTGGAAGTTACCATCAAACTTTGTTACACTTGACTCATCTGCGAGAGAAAATAAAAATTCATTGTAAGCAAAGGAAACGGTGGGGCTAACAGGCCTTTGTCAACACCTGTACTTTGTGGGCATTGTGTTGCAAAACACTCTTATTGCTCAGAAGGTTAACTGAAGCGACCAATTTTTGCCAATCATCGTGCATTGTAGCGCTCGAAATAATCGCAGAGCCGTGTGGCCTAACACATATTTTGTTTCTGCCCCAGGCCCTGGAACAAAGCATTAGCAGCCGCCAAACCAGCATCAGTGCCATCAAAGAGAAGGTCAACTGCTTCATTGAGACCGCGGATCCATCCACCGCCTCTGCTCTCCAGGCTAAGATGGAGCAACTCACCAAGCGCTTCACGGCAGCCAGTGACAGGCACAGAGCCAGGACAGAAACGCTGGAAAAACTTGGGTCGAAGGTGGAGCTATTTGAGACGACTTGCAAAAAGCTGGAGCAGTTTGTGGCCAAGAAATCTCAGGCTGTCACCGAAGTGGATGGGATGGGGAAAGAGCTGACACAGTACATGCAGGTGAGGAGTTGAATGTTGATCATCAGAATCTTTGCATTTCACGTGTGCCTTTAACTCTGAAATGTCTCGCAAAGCTCTTTACAGGCAGTGCCTGTCGAGTGCAGTATGTTTGCAAGTAAGCAAGGCCCCGGGTGGGGAAAAATCTTCAGCAAGTTTACTTACTCCTCTTTCCGGGGGTAATAATTTCTTCAAAAAAGAAAAATAATAATTTGGTCGCTCAGTCCATGACTGTTTGTGAAACACTGACTGCTGTGTTTGTCCCACAAAATATAGACAATTCACTCTACAGTATATTCTGTGAAGCGCTTTGAGACGTGATAAAGCCCTACATCAAATGCGAGGATTATTATTATTGTGAAGGGGTTATTGAGCCTGACAGTGGGATAGAACTCAATCAATGAATGCGCCTTGCACGGAACCATCCCCACGGAGTTCAAGACACTCTCCCGCGCTCTGCTAATGATTAAGTTCCCTCACGTTCCACCTCAGTAATTCATTCTCATCATTGGGAGTGACAGCCTCAGCACTCACTGTGAAATAACTGGTCATTCACTTGTCCACTTTCAACCCAGATTCGCAAAATAATGATGTTGGGATTGTTCTAACTATTAAGTTCAGTGAAATGCTCAACCATGAGTCATGCTGTGTGCAAAGTGACTACCAAGTTCGCCCATGCAAAACCACATCACTTTCTAGGGTATCCTCTGAAGCGTTTTGAGACGTCTAAATGACGTGATGAGGCATTTGTGATAATCAAATTCAAGAATTCTTTTTATCATCAATGAATGAATTTCCTTCATTTTTTCCTCTTCTTTTTTTTCCCCCTCCCTCTTGCTCTGCATCTGTTTCTTTCTTGAACTCTTTCTAGCTCTTTCTCGCTCTCTATCTCATGATATACTGAGGTTGCATGTAAAGTAACATGATCTAAACAGTGCTGCCACAATTTGTGTAGTAGGCTTTGTTGTTTCTTCAAGTTTTTTTCATCACTGAATAAAGTTTAGAGCAAATTGACTTTAAAAGCCGCTTAAACAACTTGAAAGATTTTCCTACCTATCAATAACTATCTGATGTTTCGCCTCTTGTATCTTTTTTTTACTATCATCGAGACCTGATTCAAAGTAAGAGAGGCCAGCAGCGAGATATGATGAAATGTAACTTGTGGCATGAAATCTGTGCAAAATTCCTCCCACGTCCCCTCTGGGCTCCCCTCTGTTTTAATTGAGGAAAGGAATTTGATAATCTTTACGGAGCCTGTGGTTTGAAAAATGTTTTTCCACTTTAGTTTCCGTCCCTCACCGTATTTGGTGTTAAACACAACTGGAGGAAGAGCAAGGGAATGAATGACATTTCTCAAGGGACGTTGTAATGGGATAGGCGGTTACTGTGAGATACGTTGCTTTTGGAACTGTACCCATGCTTTGTGATTCAGAAATGATTGTAGTCTGCGGCAATGAGTAATCTGTCCCTGTCAGTGTTTTAATTAGCTTGTCAATGGACAAAGGAACTGGCCAATATTACTCATCTGATGCTCACTTGCTAACACTTCCTAGTGACTTGTACAGCAGCACGTTTGTGAGTCCCGCAGCGTATTGGTCAGAACACTAGCCTCGCAAGTGAGAGGACCTGGGTTCGATTCCCAGCGCGGCGAAAGCTTAGGCAAGTTTCCTTATTCCACACGACTCTGTTTACCCGAGAGTAATTAGGAACCTAGTTTTAGTCGATTGGCAGATCGCTTTCCGGAGGTAATAATCCCTTCACTCAATCCACTGTTTGTGGGACACTGCTGTGTGCAATTGGCTGCTGCTTATCCCCGACAAAATACACGGTCAAATCACTTTACAACATATTCTGTGAAGTGCTTTGAGCCATCTCAACGACATGAAAAGGCACTATATCAAATGCAAGGATTATTATTATATTTTAAACTGTTGGAACATAGGAGCAGGAGGCCATTCAGGCCATCAAGTCAATTTTGTCTGTTTTACTAGCGCCCAAGGCCAATCTTTCAATCTCATTGGCTCACCTTTATCCTATTATCCTGAATACCCCTACTTTGCTTATATAGTTGTCTGTCTGGCTGTCTGGCTGACTTTTAAATATCCCAAATAATTCAGTCATAATGGGTTTCTGGAGTCACCTGGTATATTTACTGGTTGATTTACTGTGGATGGAACATTTTGCAAAAGGAGCAATTCTTTATTGGAAATGAAAGATGCCGTGCAGAACATTTCGCCAGTTCTGCCGTTCTGTTAAATCACTGCAGTGTGCAAATTGGCTGCCACATTTGCCCAAAAAACATTAATAGTAACAGTAATGTGTATGAAGTGCTTTCAGGCAGTTCAACTTGATAAAATGCTGTAAAAGTGGAAGTCAGTTCTCTCTTTCTTTCTATGAACATTCTTGTTTCCCAAGAATTCTAATAATAATTCTAATAATTATTATTCTAATAATAATAATAATCCTTACATTTGATATCGCACCTTATCACATCGTTGAGACATCTCAAAGACTTCGAGACTTCTCTGTTTTTGATGCCCCATACAATGGAGTTTTGGAGGAATGTCTTTATGCAGAGGGTGGTGAGAATGTGGAAGTCATCCATCAGATTGCCCAAAGTGCTGGATAGTGAAGGGTTTGCACACCCAAGTTGAGGCTGGAGTCAAGAGGGTTAGAAGAGGTGGGGGTGGGAAGGTGACCAAAAGCGCGGTTAAAGAGGAAGGCCTTAAGATGGGCCTTGAAGGAGACAAGGGAAGGTGCAGGTGGAAGGGATCCAGGATTGAGTTCCAGAGGGGTGGGAGCAGATAGTCTAAAGGCCCGATTGCTGATGGTGGAGCGGGCAGGGTGGGGGATGTGTTTAATAACGTGTTTAATGTGTTATCAACGTATTTCAGAGGAAACTTGATGAGTGCAAAAGGTGAAGGGTATAGGAGAGGAAAATAGGAGGCATGAAGGCTTGTGTAGTTGACCTGATCAACATCCCATCACTCCATGTTAGTGGGACATTGCTGTGTGCAAATTGGCTGCTGTGTTTGCTTACAAAGCACATGGTCACTACACTTTACAGTAAAAATCTTGTGAAACACTTTCAGAACCCCTGACATGAAAGTCGCTGTACAAATGTGAAGATTATTATTTTCTGGTCTCACATTCAATCTCACAATTTACTGTAGTGCTTAAGAGCTGCCCTGCATTGCTCCCACTGCCAATGGGTATGGTTCTCATTGTGGCCTTATTTGTTACAGGAAATGAACGCTGAGCTGTTGGATCAGAGTAGAGATCTACAAGTATTAAACAACTTGGCCGAGGAGTTGGGAGCCTGCGGTACAGCTGAGGATCAGGCAGAAGTCCTAGAAAAAGTCAACGTTCTGTCTAAGAACTTTAAAGAACTAAAAGAGGCCACCAAGAAAAAGTGAGAAAGGTTTTAAGTTACTTCCTTTGCTTATCATTGCATCAGTCGTTCAGCTGCTTTGTAATGAGGACATTCCTTTCATCTTTTTGACCTGTCTAGTTCTGTCTAGCAGGTGTGAATCTCTGAAAGCATCTACTTTATGTCCATGAGGTCAAGATTGCTGTATTCCTAAATGCATTCAATACAATACAAATGTACCTTCATAGAGTGTCTTTCAAGTTGGAGGATGTCCCAAGGCGCTTAACAGTCCTGGCTTGGCACCTTTCCCATTCCTTTCCCTATTGGTTACCAGGAATGACTTATGCTGTCAAAATCCTGGCAGCTTCCCATGGTGCCAGCTGTGTGGTATGTTGTTTTCAGTGGTTTTCATCCACAAATTCCTAATTATTCCAAATTATTCTACACAAGATAACATCACCTGAAGATGCCTACATTGTCACTCTGGATATAGAGACACTGAGCTCTTTTCTTTTGGCATGACAATATATCAGAAGTTTAGTGTATTTTAATGAATGGTTTTCGACTGTAAATTGTCTTAATCGCTAAACACCCTCTCTCCTCCCAACTTCGGAAGAATGGTTTCTCCCTGAGGCAACATTCGCACCTTCACAAAAGTGAGTTCAGAGCAGAAGGTGGAAATTTCCATATGTTGGTGACATTCGAACATGGAACTCTTCATTTAGTTTGGATACTCTTATGCAAGCTTACAGGTTTCTGCATGTGTCCGACTTTAGGCTGACCAAACAAAAAGGTGAAATTGAAGAATGTAGAAAACGCAAAATTTGTTCTTTTGCTCAGTTATTTCTGTGTCTATTTTCAGAGAGGAAAAGATATTCTCCTGTCAGACACAGATGGATGATTTTAAAGCCTTATTGACATCCGTCAGAAAATGGATGGATGTGATGACTGAGAAGATTCCAGCTATGGACCCAAATCTCACCACAGAAACTCTTCAGGGACATCTGTCAAATGTTCAGGTGAGGAATGCTGAACTGTTGAATAATCTGCACCACACAAAGGAACCTGCAGAACTGGATGAAGACCATTGCGAGACGTCTTTCCTAAGCTTAAATATTCATGCTTTCCTTTATCCCTGATATTCCACAAGGTATATTTATGCAAAACCTTGGAATCTTGTAGTATATTGGTTAGAGTACTCGCTCGCAAGCGAGAGGACCCGGATTTGATTCCTGGCAAGTTTCCTTACTCCACACACCTCTGTTTGTCTAGCAGTTAATAGGAACCTGACTATAAGTTGATAATAATAAGTCAATCTGCCTCCCTTGATTGTCAGTTCCACATATCCGCTCCTCTCTGCATAAACTTATTGCATCTAATGCTTCTGCTTGGATCCCGGTGGCAATCTCAAGAGTAGAACCGGGACCACGACCTATCTAACTCCATCTCAGCCAGTGGGGTGTTAATTTGTGATGCAGAAAATGTGCATTGTGCATGTCCAGTCGAGAGTCCAATGTTCACAATAATGCTACCGACCTCACTGTGGATCAAAAGATAATGCAGCTATTGTGAGTGTGTGCATCTCTCCCCCTCTCTCTGACACACATATAATTTTCTCTGTCTCTCTCTCTCATAACACCCACTCTTTTACCCTATCGCTCTGCTTGTCTGTGATTTTTCTTTTTTTCTCAACTCTGTTTTTCTTCTCTTTCTTCCGTTCACCTCTTGTTTCTTCTGCAAAATATACTGTCAATTCACTTTACAGTATTTTCTGCGAAGCGCTTTGAAATATCTCAAATACATGATAAGGTGTAAGTGCAAGGATTATTATTATTAATCGTATGCCTGTATTTCTGTGTGCACGTTTACGTTTTCTGTCTGTCTGTACGTGTGTAACTCTTTCTCTCCACGTCTGTATGTGTCTGTGTCTCTATACCTGTGTGTATATCTCATTTTCTCTCTGTCTCTAATACACACTTTATCCTCAATTTCTCTCTGTTTCTGGGTCTTCTAGTGCTCAGTAAAATGCATGGTTGATAACTTCATAGCTTTGCAGACACCAGCAAGTCTTGTTGTGGTTATGCTAGTTAGTTAACCCTGCTCACAGACAGCAGGGCAGTGTTGACTATTACCTACACCGTGTCTATTGCTTTTTATTCAGGGCATGCTCGAAGAATGGTCGTCAAAAGCTTCCGAGGTTGAAGAGGTTACTCGCAAAGGCTCTGAATTAAGTAACCTGATTAACGCATTGTCTTCACCGGCTAAGTCAAGGGCAGAAGTAAAATCAGGTAAAATTTGTTGATCCAAGTTAATGTTTAGGCCCTGCTCTGATGATTATTATGTGGTTGGGGGAGATGCGTTGTTTAAGACAGGGGTTCCAATCAGCTCAACTCAGCCTGGCACAGTGGTGCATTCTCACCTCTGAGTCAAAAGGTTATGGGTTCAAACTCCACTTTGGGACTTGCTATCACATAGTCCAAGCTGACACTCCAATGCAGTTCTGGGGATGTGTTGCATTGTCAGAGGTGCCTTCCATTGGATGAGACGTTAAACTGAGGTCCCATCTGCCTGTTTGGGTGGACGTTACAGATCCCGTGGAATTATTGGAAAAGAGAAGGGAGTTTCTTTCAAGATCCTCATCCTCACCTACAAGGCCATTCACGGCCTTGCTCCCTCCTACCTCTCCAACCTACTATCCCCCTACCTACCTGCCCGTACCCTCCGTTCCTCTGGCTCCGGTCTGCTCCACACCCCCCGCCCCAACCGCCCTACCATTGGTGGTCGGGCCTTCAGCCTCTCAGCCCCCAGGCTCTGGAACTCCATCCCCCAGTGCCTTCGCCTTGCTTCCTCCCTTTCCTCCTTCAAGGCCGGTCTCAAAACCTTTCTCTTTGACCGTGCCTTCAGCTCCCCTCTCGACTCTCTTCCCCCTCCTCGCTCCCTCCCTTCCCTCACCCTGACCATTTCCCCCCTCCTTGCTCCCTCCCTTCCCTCCCCTCACCCTGACCATTTCCCCCCTCCTCTCTCCCTCCCTTCCCTCCCCTCACCCTGACCATTTCCCCCCTGCTCGGGTCATGACCCAACTGTGCAGCGCCTTGGGACGTCCTCCTGACGTGAAAGGCGCTTTATAAATGGAATCTTGTTGTTGTTGTTGTTGTTCTTTCTCCCGGTGTCCTGTCCAACAATCCCCCAGGTAAAATTGGTCATTCACTCCACGGCTGTTCGTGGGGCTGTGCGCAACTGGCTGACGTGTTTCGCCCACAAAATACACAGTCAATCCACTTTACCGTATATCTTGTGAAGCGCTTTGAGATGTCTCAACTACATGATTAAGGTGCTATATCAAATGCAAGGAATATTATTGTTAGCTGATGGGCTTGGCAGTCAAGCCAATGGCTCGCTTTCAAGACAGACTGGCTTCTGTAGCCTTTGCACTTCCTGCTGCCCCTGGTGTGTCTCCTGGCTCCGCAGTCCCTCTAAACCCATGTCATCCTGCCCCAAGAGTCTATGGACCACAGTTTGGGAACCAATGATTCAGGAGATTGTAAAGGCTGCACTCTACACCTCATGGAACCCTTGCAGAACCTCGGTGCCTTGCTTGACTCCCAATTGTCTTTTAATATAATAATAATCACAATAATCCTTGCATTTGATCTAGCACCATACCATGTCTTTGAGTCGTCTCAAAGCACTTCATAGACTATACTATAAAGTGAATGGACTGTATACTTTATGGGCAAAATGCGGCAGCCAAATACACAGAGCAGTGTCCCACAAACAGTTGTGATTGAGTGACCAAATTAGTTATTAGTATTTTTTTCAAGGGATTACCCCCCTGGAAAGCGATCCACCAATCGACTAACAAACATGCTAGGCAAATAGTAACCCCACATCCATGCTCTCTAACACGCTCAGCTTTCCCCCACCTCTGAAGATTAGCGTTGTGGGGTGTGGGAAGATGTCCAGAGTTTGAAAATGTAGCAATGCAAGGGTTTAGATTGTGTTCTTACTAAAGTGGTTTGCAAGTTCTTCAAACATTTACGGTGCCGCCACAGGCAATTGCTGTGTTCATTTAGTGATTGTCATGCCACCTGCCAGTCACCAAAGCCACAAGTTTGGCAGAAAAACTTCCTTTGTGCGTTTGTCTCCCGGAGATTGATTTGAATCTCTGCAAATCAGTTGCACTGTTGAATGAATATACTTCCTTCACCAGGTCTTTTAATTTCATGGACTGTTGGTTTGATGATCTTATGCCTGGAGGGTGGCTCAATCTAAAAATTTTTGAGGGGAATGTAATTGAACATTGAGAAATTGCGGGCTACCGTGAATGAAATATTCACCGGATTTATCTTTTTTAAAAAAAAGTGGGCTTGTTTTTTACTCTCATTTCTATCATCTTCGTATTCGTATTGTTCTTTCACAAACTCCCAGTCACTTCATTTTATTTTCCCCCTGTTTAACCCTGTGTATGAATAACAGTGTGTTTTTTCCTCTCTGTGTGTCTCTTATCTATATCACTCTTTGTCTGTCTCTGTGTATGTGTGTCTCTCTCCCTCTTTATCTTTCTCTTTGTTTCTCTCTCTGACTCTCTGTCTGTCTCCCCATCTCACATTCACTCTCGCACTGTATGTGAGTTTTTTTATTTTGAACCTTTTCTGTCCCTTAGAATTCAAGCTTGTCTGTTGATGCCTTTAGTCAAAGGTATTGATCCATGAATGAAAATGTTCAAAATGATGATTTTTTTAATATAGGATCAATGCTGTGCTGTGGGGAGAATATTTTTTTCATTGATCAGTCAGTCAGTAACTAGAGGTCAGAAATGTAAGATACCATAACATAAAACAAAAGAGAAAGGTTAAGAGAAATGGATCTCTCTCTCTTTCTGAGAGCTGGAACAGGCACAATAGAACAAATTGTCCATTTGCGCTATTGTGACCAAATCATCTGTGCTGTAAAATTATATGAACCTTTTGCTTTGGCCTGCGGTACTTACACCGATTTGTACCTGACACGTTTTCTGATCTGCAGGAACACAGGTGATGAATGGTGGAGGAACTGTCTCTAGTGTCTACAGCTCTAAAGGTGAGGAGCTGTGTTTGGTGCCAGCATTACAGCTACTATAAATCCTCCCAAGTCACTGCAAAGGCCCCAGACATAGAGATAATAATTAAGATGCCAAAGTGCAATGGTTTACGTAAATAATAATTATTTCCTTTGCCATCAATGGCAAGCTATGAGGTTTTAGCTGGTTAGACTCCAGCAGTTACCCCAATGCACACATTGGGGTCCCCAAGCTTTGGCTCTTGCCAACCTGCGCCTAATACTTTCCGGAATTAGCTAAGCAGGATGTGTCCGTCCAGGGAGAGAGCGCGCATTCCATTCAAGCAGTCTATTTCTGGAATTTCCATACATGGAATTCTCAGTTTGATTAAGGATGGTGATGGGTTTCCGTATGTGTCAGACACCCGGCTGCCCCCCCCCCACTCCACACGCACCAAAAAAAGCCATTTGATATTGTGCATTGTCACATCTCCAAGACAACAACTTGCATTTATATTGTGTCTTTTACGTGAAGTAATGTGTGTTGGAGCACTTTACAATGTCGGGGGCATGCCGAGCCAGGATGGGGGTGGAAATAGGGCGAGGGGGGTGTCCATAGGTACGGTTCAAGAGGTAGGTTTTAAGAATTAAAGACAGATAAAAAGCGTGTGGGTGAGATAAAGGGGAGAAGGGAATACCTGCATTGCATACATTATATGGTATAACAAAGCCTGATTGTCTAATGTGACCTATGATATGCTTTTCTCCCCCGGTAGAGCTGATGGCTATCCAGCAGGACACCACGGATGTGAACCACCAATACGAGGAGGTGGGAGGAAGCCTGAGACAGATGGAGAGTCAGCTACAGTCCACACTGACACAGATACAGCAGGTCCGAGAGGAGACTGAGACCCTCGAGAAATGGCTGGATAACATGGGCAAGACAGCGGCCGCCTGGGATACTTTGCCAACTGAGACTGAGGCTATAAAGCAACAGGTTGAGCAGCAAAAGGTGCGGCAAGCGTATTGCACTTTTATTTCCAACTTTTTGCGAAAATTAAGTTTCCTTACCCCACACGCCTCTGTTTACCTAGCGGTAAGAAGGAACCCAGTTGTTAGTCGATTGGTGGATTGCTTTCTGTGGGTAATAATCCCTTCAAAAAAAGCATTTGGTTACTCAATCACTGCTGTGCACAATTTGCTGCCACATTTCGGCCAAAAAATACCCAGTCAATCCACTTTACAGTATATTCTGTGAAGCACTTTGAGACATCTCGAAGACGTGTTAAGGCGCTAAATCAAATGCAAGGATTCTTACTAGTTTTTAGCTGCAAAATTTGCTGCAGTTGCCCACAGGCCAGAATGCAAAAGAGCCACCAAGTTTAGTCAGTCACAGTGATATTTTTGTACTTCTGAGGAAAACGATGATGATACTATGGAGGAAGAATGTGACTTATGCCAGTCGGCAGTTGTCTCTGGGTCAGAGGTTGTGAGTTAAAGAACCACATCAGGATTTTGAGCTCACAGTCTGGGCTGAGTCTCCAGTGCAATGCTGGGGGCTCTCCGGATTGTTCCGTCTTTCGGATGAGATGTTAAATCGAGTTCCCATCTGCATGTTCATTCGGACTTTGAAGATCCAGTGGCGCTTTTCAAAAAGAGAAGGGAATTCCTCCCAGTGTCCTGGCCAACAATACCCCCAAATAAGAGTGACAAATACAATTGGTCACTCTTTACAGCTCTTTGTACGACATTTCTGTGTACAAACTGGCTGCTGTGTTTTGCTTAAAATACAGTCATGTGAAACGATTTGAGACTTTTCAACATTGCAAGTGCTGTATTAGATGCAGAGATTATTCTAATAACATAATATCATTCTGTTGAAATATGAATTTCATATCAGTCATTGTGCTTTTCCTGCTGGCTTCCTGCTCCACTTAACGTAGCAGGCCTGGTCCCTGGAGAAGTGTGGTAAGAGGTATTCTGTGAAGACATCGGCTCCACTTTCCTGCCTCCTCCATTGTCCTGGTAAACTGGGTCAACCATGGTTGCTGCAGATAGAGAGGGCGCCAAAGAATCTTTGCGTCAGCTGGGATATTCTGTCACCTTGGATCAATGGTAGCACTCTTGCTTCCGAGTCAGAAGGTTGAGGGTTCACATCCCAAGTCGGGACTTGAATTTACAAAGTCTAAGATGACACGCCATAGCAGTTCTGAGGGTGTGTTTCATTGTCAAAGGTGCCGTTTTTCACGAGGGTCCCTCTATAGAATGAACTGTTGTAATGTGTGGTTTGACTTTATGGATCCAAAGTGCTGGATTATAATAATAATAATAAATAATAATCCTTACATTTGATTTAGAGCCTTTCAGGTTCGGGGGCTTCTCAAAGCGCTTTACCTCCACTCCACCATCGGTGGCTGTGCTATCAGTCACTAGGCCGCGAACTTCTGGAACTCTCTGTCTCAGTCCCTGTGCCTTGCCCCTTCCTTACCTGCCTTCAGATCACACCTGAAGACCTACCTGTTTGATGGTATGGTCACCTCCCCCCTCTCCCCATTTGGTGTCAAACTCTGTCACTGCCAAGTACTCCGAAATGCTACCTCTTGAAAATAGCTATATTGTGGTACACTGCTGAGCGCAATTGGCTGCTACGTTTCGTCCTCAAAATACAGTCAATTCACTTTACAGTTATTTCTGTGAATCACTTTGAGACATCTCATTGACGTGATGAGGCGCTATATCAAATGCAAGGATTATTATTATCAATATAACAATCCTCCAGGTACAGATTGGTCTTTTCACTTCATTGCTGTTTGGCTGTGTGCAAATTGGCTGCTGCGTTGCCTACAAAATACACAGTCGCTGTGCTTTACAGTAAAAGCTGTGAAGTTTGTGGTGTCATTGAAGCATCCTCCCGATGTGAAAGGAGCTGTGTCAAATGCAAGCATTATCATCTCGCGTTTCAAGATGGTAATTTACGACGGCTGCATCCAGAGGCGGCCCCGAGCGATTGATGCATCGCTTGATACCAATTGATTTTAACCTTGTTGTTGCAGGCATTTGAAGCAGAGTTGAAAGAGAAGACTGGGAAAATGGAGCAGCTGAAGGAGAAGCTGACACATTTGCTGCAGAAGACCCCAGACTCACCCGAAGCAGCAAAATGGAAGCAGATGTTGGATTGCATAAGTAATGTGTCAAACTTGATATTTTTATAGATCCATATAGATGTAGTACCTGGTTTTAATGTTACTGTATAACCTGTTAAACAGGTGCTTTTCTTTTGGTCAGCCAAACACATGCGGAAACCCATTACCGTGCTTAAGGGCACCCAAACCAAACTGAGAATTCCATGGATCCCACCGCCTGGATCCCACCGCCACATGGAAATTCCAGAGAAAGATTGTCGGAGTGGAATGTGCACTCTCTCTCCCTGGAGGGACACATTCCTGGTTACCTAATTCTGGAAAGTATTAGGTGCAGGTTGGTAAGAACCAAGGCTTGAGGACCCCAGAGTGCGTACTGGGGTAACTGCTGGAATCTAACCTGCTAAAACCACATTGCTTATCCATTGATAGCCATTGATAACACTATCTGGCAAGCTTTCCCATTGCTTGTCCAGCTGGGACCATCAGGGCTTTAGCTTGCAGGGTTAACAGGAGCTGAGCGGGAGGATTCCCTGCCCCCAATGACTGGTCTGGTCCTTCCACTTCAACAGTGCTTAATAGGTCAATGTTTATTTTTTTTAAATTGCTACTCTCTATCATATTGTCGCTAGTTTGTACTATGTCATGTTGTCGCTGGTTTACAAATGTCGTATTGAAACTCTATCCTCTCGTCTACGTCCCCGCCAGATTCTGTTCACATCTTATCCGTCCTTCGAACGTCTGATTAGGCATACGTTGAAAATCCCACAGCACTACACGAAAAGATCCACCATATAAAAATTGTCGTTCACTTCAATGGCTATTGAATCGACTGTGCCCAGAAAGCTAAACTATTATTTATCTATCCACCTTTCAAACATAAAATGATTCAAAAGAATGATGATCTTTACATTTGATAGAGCGCCTTTCACTTTGTGATCACCTCCCAAAGTGCTTCAGAGGATACACTGCCAAGTGCAGTGACTGTGTTTTGTGGGCGAATGCAACAGCTAATTTGCCCACTGCAAACATTCAACTGTCTTTGGGGCAGTGTGTTCCACAATCTCACAACCCTCTGTCGGACAAAAAGCAGTTCATACTCTTTACTCCCTCCCTCCCTCCCTCCCTCCCTCCCAACTTTCCATTTTCTTTCAGTTTTATTTATTTTGCTTTGGTTGAGGTAAAACCTGAATCTGCCCAGAAAATAAATACTTGATCAAATAATAAAAAAGTGGAACTTTTATAGTAATTTAATCCTTATTACCGTCGTGATTCATTTTCCTTTGTCCTTCCCTCATTTGAACTTTCACTCAACCACAACATTAACCAGGCCACTCCTTATCGTGGGAAAGATTTTGGAGATAAAGGCGTACCTTCTGGACTTCTTTGAGGGAGCTGCCTTTTGGCTATCTTGATTGTTCACTTCCAGTGCAAGAAGATTTATAGAGCTTGGCTCCCAATGGCAAGAGAGAGATTAGACTTAAATCCTCAGCAAATCTGCTCTCTGCAACCTGTGCTGGGGAAGAGGCAGCTGTGAAGAACAGGTCCCACCAGTCAGAGGAAAATGGAGGTGTATAATGGGGGGTGGGGGAGGGGATTGAAGGAGAGGATTGAAAATGCCATGGCCTTAATTCAACTGAAATTAATAACTTACAAGTGATATATAAATCTTTATATTTGATGTAGCGTCTTTCATGTCGGGAAGATGTCTCAAAGCGCTTCACAGTAAAGTGCAGTGACTGTAGAGAGGGGGGCAGCCAAATTATGAACATCAGTGTTCTACAAACAGCCATAAAGTGAGTGATCAATTTTTTTTTCGAGGATTGTTGGCCAGAACACTGGGAGAAACTCCCTTCTCTTTTCAAATGATTCCATCGGATCTTTAATGTCCACCTGAATAGCCGACAGGACCTCAGTTTAAAATCTCATTCTTCAACAATGCAGGCTCCCTCGGCACTGTATTGGAGTGTCAGCCTAGACTGTGACTTCAAATTCCCGGCGAAGATCAAATGGCTTTGCCAACTTTTGGGACTGTGACTATTCCAGCGATTAGTGTCAGTCTGGGTGTCAGTTGCACTCTGGCCTCTGAATCAGACGGATGTAAGCTTAAACTCCATGTCGGGGGCTTTGAACTCGTATAGTCTAGGCTGACACGCCTGTGTACTGCTGGGGGACCACTGCATTGTTGGAGGTGCCATACTTCGTGTGAAACTTTAAACCAAAATCTGGTCTGCCTGTTCAGGTTGGCACCTAGTTACGTTCATACCGTTTTCTGCCTTTTGGGTAATTCTTTATGATCAGCCACTGACAAACGAGGGAACCCAGCGCTCTGCTTAGGAATATCCAAACTAAAATACTGATAGTTTCACCTGGAAAATTCCCACTGTTTGGAATGTGCACTCTCTCCCCAGAGAATGCACTCTGCTTGCCTAATCCCTGAAAATATTTGGTGCAGGTTGGATAAAGGGGTTATGTGCAATAAGACAAACATAGGATTCAGAGCAGTGGGAGGTGACTTGCTGGTCCTTATTATTTGAAATAACTAAGACAAGCAGCTTCTGCAGGAAATTATTCGGCATTAAGTAGGGATGCTCATTGGTAACAGCAAATGAGACAGACCAGGTGCCAATGAACTTAGTGTCCCAACTCATTAGTTTGCATCATTCCCAACCACGATGTGACTTTGCAGGCGATTATTTGATGGACTTGTTCCAAATTCTGCCAACTTCAGGGAGCTTCATTATTTTGCTTTCCTTTCAGTGTAGGAATGTCACTAATAAATGCATGTCAGTCTAGCTCAGTTAGTAGCACTCTCGTCTCTGGGTCAGAAGGTTGTGGGTTCATCACGTTCAGGCTCAACTACACTAACTCCCTGCTCGCCGGGCTATCCAACTTTTCCTTTCGCAAACTGCAGATTATTCAGAACTCTGCACTTGTGTCCTCTCCTGCACCAAGCTCTGTGAACCGATCACACCCATCCTCGCTTGGCTCCACTGGCTCCCCTTCCCCCAGAGGATAGGGTTCAAAATCCTTGTCCTCACTTTTAAAGCCTTCTGCATCATTGCTCCTCCCAACCTCTGTGACCTATTGCAGTCATACCAATCTGTCTGTTCCTTTGCTTGGTGGGGGGGGGTTCTCGGAGTGCTTCACAAGATTTACTGTGAAATGTAGTGACCGTGTGTTTCGTAGATGAACCAAAGGCAATGTTTGTAAAGCTAAACATAATTGTCGCCCCTCGAGTTTTCTTCCTCCTCACAGATGAAGTTGGTCTCTCGCCTCCTCAGTGAGAAAGTTCACTTGATTTTAGCTGTGAAGTTTGCTGGAAGTTAACAGTGTTAATTTGGAAACTGGTTTGCTGCTTTTGGTAAAAGCAACCGACTTCCAAATTAAAATTGATTTTGTTTTAGTATCTTTTCACAATCCTGCACAATGTTGAATTTTTGAGATACAATAGCCTAGCATTAGGTGGAATATCGAGTTATAACATCTGCCATCAATTTGATTTAGTTGCAGTTTGATGTGTTTTAAGACTCATTCCTTGTATAACACAGAAATTAAATTATGAAATGCACTAAATTTTTACCTCAGTGTTGAGTGAAATAATTATTTTATTCCTTCCAGCAGAGTTGAGCTCCTGTATCATAAATCAGGTTTCGATTTTTTACAATTTGTTTTACAGATAATAACATAAATTTTCCTTTATTTTGAAAGTTTTAGTGATCGTTTTGACAACCCAAAATGGACGGTTTCCAGGTGATAAGATTGCCACAATGTCGCTTCCTGCGAGTTGCACAGGAAGTGTCGTTCGAGACACTGCCCGCTCATACAACACACATGTGCACCGCACAGGAAGTGACATCCGTGATGACCTTACTATTTGAAATTCGGCCATATTGTAGCACAAAACAATAAAAATACGAAATGAAGTTGAGAAAATTAGAGCAAAGCGAAAACAGCCCAACAGTGACGCACCACACTCCTTACACAGTAATCCATGGCCGTTTGTGGGACACTGCTGTGAGCAATTGTCCGATGCGTTTTGACCCCAAAATACACAGTCACTATACTTTACATTCTGTGAAGTGCTTTGAGACGTCTCAACGACGTGATAAGGCGCTATATCAAATGGAAGGGTTATTGTTATAATTATTTTTAATCCCGATTTAAAATCAGAAAGAACAAAGCCTAATTATAAAAGGTTTGTTTTGGATCTGTTTTGACCAAGATGGCATCAACATTCTCCAATGTTTCTGGCTTTAGATTCGAAGTGGAAAGGGGTCAGCCAGTCAGCGGCAGATCGGCAGCAGAAGCTGGAAGAGTCGTCCAGTTTCCTCACTCAGTTTCAAGCCACCGAGGCCCAGCTTAACCAGTGGCTCCTGGAAAAGGAACTCATGATGAATGTACTCGGCCCACTCTCCATTGACCCCAACATGCTGAATACTCAAAAGCAACAAGTGCAGGTAGGATCTTGGCTTCGATGGACCGGGTTGCTGGTTGGCGTTGGGTCTTGGGTTCAGGTTCTTGGGTTGGGTTCTGTTTTGGAAGCGAGATTAATTTAGTGGCGAATGTGCATTTGTTACTGTAAAGAAGACCACTCCTCGAGCCAGGCAGATAAGCAGAGCCGGTTCCTCCCACTCCCTGCCCACCATCTCTCTTGCCTCTTTCAAAGCCCATCTCAACACCCTCCTCTTCAGCCCCACCTTCGGTCACCCTCCTACCCCTACCCTCCCTGCTCTCCACTACCTCGGGTCCAAATCCCTGACTGTCCAGCACCTTTGGACGTCCTCCAGATATGAGAGGCGTGATACAAATGTAATGTGTTGTTGTTGTTGACACGGTTCAAACAGCTCAGGTTTATTAGAGGAGAAACAAAAAGCATATAAGTGACGCACACACTCCTTACCCAACACAATCTTGGAGGGTGCAGATACCTGGGTCCATAGTCGGTAGGTACCCTGCAACCCAACCCCTCCAACCCAACCATGACTTCACAATCCCCCTCTGCACTATATGGCACCAAACCTCAGGCCGTGTAGGTGGAAACCCATTGCCATGCGTAAGAGTATCTGAACCAAACAGTTCCGTACATCCCACCTACACAAGTATCCTCACAGCCAGAAAGTGCTCACAGATATCATTTCCTCACTTTCATTATTGTAATGGCTGATGACTGATCTTTCCCTAAATGGAGCTGAGGTACAGATCAGCCATGATCTAATAGAATGGTGGAACAGGCTCAAGGGGCTGAATTGCCTACTCCTGTTCGTATGTTCTTAATGGGAACTGGAAGTGAAGAAGCCTTGGCTTGTACCTGGGAGAGAGGCGTGCCTGCTTAAAAGGCAATACTGGATCCCAGAAGACTTTCTCTCTCTCTCTCTCTGGTCCCTGGCCCAGGAAGGCAAAGGAACAAATACGCCTGAGGCCTAAGCTAGGTGATCTCTTACTATTTTTCTCACCAATAAGTTTCCATCTCTTGCCTGCAGATCCTGCTCAAAGAATTTGACACTCGGAAGACCCAGCATGAGCAGTTGAAGCGGGCAGCAGAGGGCATCTTGAATAGACCCGGTGAGATGCCTCCAGCGTGCAGTGTGGTCAGCGACCAGCTGGCCAGTGTGACACGGAAATGGGACAACCTGACAGGACAGCTGGTCAGTAGATCGGACCGTATCGACCAGGCCATAGTCAAGAGCACCGAGTACCAAGGTCTGGTTCGGGATCTCTCGAGCAAGCTGAGCAGCCTGGAGGGCAGGCTGGCAAGTCAGGCTCCTCTGAGCGCCCAGCCTGAAGCTGTGAAGCAGCAGCTCGAGGTGGCCAGCGAGATCCGTTCAGAGCTGGAGCGAGAAGAGAAACACATGCAGCAGGCGCAGGGCCTGAGCGAGGAGCTCTCGGAATTGGTGGGTGAGCAGTACCTGAAGGCCGAGCTCAGCAGGCAGTTGGACAACGTCCTGAAACCGTTCAGAGACCTTCAGGAAAGAGCAGGTCAGTAAGCTACACACCGTGCGTCTCAACGAGCAAAATAGAGTGAAAAGCACAGAATATGGTAAATATCCGTGGCACTGTGGTGGGAGTCAATCCACGACCTGCAGTTTGTAATTGGCTGCCATGTTTCGCCCACAAAATATACAGTCAATTCACTTTACAAAAAATGCCAGTTTTTGTTTTTGTTTAGTTTGTGTCATATGCCTCTTTCTCATGGATGGCAGAAGGTTATGTTGTGGGCCAGTTTACCCTCTGGGACTAGTTCAGTTGTGTGAGAGAGACTCGTTTGAATCTGTTCCCTTCTCTCTCTGTGACCCACACTCTCTCCTTGTTTTCACTGAGTCTTTTTAAATACTGTACTACTTTCCTTTGAAGTAGTTACTCATTAACCCACGAGGTATCCCAAAGAAATACAACTTGGAAACATGTTGTAAACACGGCAACTTATTTCCACTTCAAAGACTTTCACCACATGATACTGTTTCTATTTTGGTGACAGAATGGGTCAAAACAGAGACCTTTTTAACAGATTGTGCAACTAGCTGAGACCTAGAATCCCAATTAATATCTAAATGTTAATGGATTTTTTGACATTTACTTCCACTAACTCTGTGAGTCGATGGAAGCAGTTTCTACTCAAAAAAAGACCGTTCTCCAATAAAGCAGCCCTTGTCCACACCCCATCACCCCAGTCCTTGCCAGGCACTACTGGCTCCCTGTTGCAGGACAGTTCGATTTCAAGCTCCTCACTCTCACTTTCGAATCACTTCACACCCTGACATCTCCTGGCGTCTCCGATCTACTCACTCCCTACTCCACTGCACGTCAGCTTCACTCAGTCTTCAAATCCCTCATCCCCTCCACTCCACCACTGGCATCCGTACTTTCAGTCACTGTATCCCTGCCTCAGTCTTTCTGTTTTACCCCGCTTTGCCCATTTTCAAATCACAGCTGAAGACTTTCCTCTTTGACCCTGCCTTCGGTAGCCTCCCCTCTCCTTCTAGGTCAGTGTCAAACCATGTTGCTGTTAAGTGCTCTGAAACACTGTTCGAGTGAAAGTCGTTAAATAACTGTAGTTGTTGTTCTTAGCTCTGATAAGCATTGTTCCTCTTAAGGTACATGTTAGCCATACAACACTTTACCACTCCTGTCATTAAGTGATTAAATAATAATAATACGAGGTACTTGCATTTGATTTGCATCATCAGCAAATTGCATTTATATTATGCCCTTTTAGTAGGATAATGATTTGAATTGCTTTATAAAGACGAGGTTGAATGCTGTGCAGGGGAGAGGGGAAAGTGGGAGGTGAACATAGGCACAGTTGAAAAGTGGTAGATTTTTAGGTGAGGTTTCAAGAGAGATAGAGAAGGGCCGAGACAGAATGGTAGAGGGAGGGAGTTTTAGAGATTAGAAGCTGAAGGTTTGGCGCATAGAGGCTTGATGCAACCTTTTGCATCAAGGCTGAGTTAACTGAATAGAGGGGACGAGCAGAGGAGTGGGTTAGAAGAGATCGGGAGGTGCTTGGGTGTGAAGAGACTTGAAGGTGAGGATGAGCATCATGAAGGCGAAGTATTCTGAAGTAAATTATTTTGTACTTGGAGGTGTGGATAGATTGTCAATCCTGCTTACCAAAGAGTTCATGGAATAGGATGGTCCTGGCTGGGCAAGTACGCACTGAGTTGAGGAAGAACTTCTTCACTCAAAGGGTGGTGAATGTATGGATCTCACTACCCTAAAGGGCTGTTGACGCTCAGTCCTTGAACATATTCAAGACTGAGATAGATAGATTTCTTATTGCAAAAGGGATTAAGGGATATGGGGATAAGGCAGGGTTAGGTTATTAGCTGGAGTTAGATTAGAAGATCAGCCATGATTGAATGGCAGGGCAGGGTCGAAGGGCCGAATGGCCTACTCCTGCTCCTTTAGGTGGAGTCCTGTAGCTCAGTGGTTAGAGCACTCGCTCTGCAAGCGAGAGACTTGAGTTCAATTCCAGGCAGAGGGCGAAACCTTGGGCAAGTTTCCTTACTCCACACAGAGCCTAATAATAATCCCTCCAAAAAAACAAAAACAATAATAAATTGGTCATTTTCAATCCATGACTGTTTGTGGGACATTGCTGTGCGCAATTGGCTGCTGCGTTCGCCCACAGATATACAGTCAATTTCACTTTACAGTGTGTTCTGTGAAGCGCTTTTGGACGTCCTCCCGACGTGTAAAGCGCTATATCAAATGCAAGGATTATTATTATTATTACATGTTATGTTATGTACCACAATGTGAGGTTACTATTTCATATATGGACTTTATGCAACCACACAAATACACGCACACAAACACTTTTCCCAAGATACCCAAGTTTCATAGATAATGGTGTCTGGCTTGGCTCAGTTGGTGGACTATGGGTAGACATTTGGGCTTTGGGATTGCTCTCATTTGGGATTTGAATTCTTAGGCTTGAGGCTGATTTTGCCAATACAGTACGGGGCCCAATGCATTGTTAGAGGTGTCACCTTTTAGATGAAACATAAAGCCCAGGTCCAGTCGTCCTGTTTGAATGGATGTTAAAGATCCCATGACATAATTCAAAATACACGACACAAAGATATGACACTGTACTGTGAAACATTTTGATAGTACAAGCGCTGTATCAAAATAAGGAGTTATATCAAATGCAAGGATTATTATTATTAAGTGCATGGATTACCACTTTGAAAAGGGACTCTTTCCAGGTGTCTTGGCCAACAACCCTTCAGTTAAATTGGTCACTGGCTTCAAGGCTGTTTTTAGATCTTGCTGTGCCCAAATTGGCTTCCATGTTTGCCGACACAGCCATTAGACATGATAGCGGCAACTCCACAATCTTGATAGCAATTAACTTTGAAGTTCTTCGAGACGATTTGATGTTGTCAGCACGCTTTCAAATCCAAAGATTCTTCTTGTTGTTTTTAACCGCTTGGACATTTTTATTTTCTTCCGCAGGAAATCGTGTCCATCAACTTCAGTTCGCTCTGGTCAGCTCCCAGCAGTTCCAGCAAATGTTTGATGACTTTCAGGCCTGGCTGGCTGGAAAGTGCACCGAACATGGCCAGATGCCTCCAGTATCTGCTAAACATGACAAGCTGAAGGCACTGATTGAGGAGCAGACGGAATTTCAGAAGTCTTTGGTGCAGCAAGCTGGCTCGTACGAGATGATCATCGCAGAAGGGGAGTCGCTCTTGCAGAATACCCAGCCGGGGCCAGAGAAAACAGCTCTGCAGGGTCAGCTTGCCACGCTCAAAACTAACTGGGAGGAACTGTCCAAACAGGCGGAGGACAGGCAGGAGAAGCTGAAGCACAGTTCACAGAAGGCCCAGAAGTACAGAGAATGTGTAGAAAACCTGCTGCCCTGGATTGAGGAATGCGAAGCGAAGGTTTCTCAGATACAGGTGGGCAGTGACGCCAGGCAAATCGAGCTCTCGTTGGAGAATGTCAAGGCTTTGCAGAGCGACGTAGATCAGCACAGAAGGACGCTCGAGGCATTCAATGTCGCCGCCGACGGCCTGGTCGAGAGCAGCCAGGCCGACGTGGAGGAGGTCAGGGGCCAGAAGACTTCGGTCAACAGGAAGGTGGAGCGGCTGAGCGAGCATCTCCGGCTCGGGAAGGAGCGCGCGCAAGAGATGGGGAAACGAGTCAAGGACCTCCAGGGCTCTCTCCAGGAGACCAAGAAGCAGCTGAACGGAGCCAGGCAGCAGCTCGTGCTCCACGATGCACTGGGGCCGCAGGCTCTGAGCAGCAAACACCTGAGCAACATGAACGCTCAACGCAGGACACTTCAGGCTTTGCGATCGCAAGTGGATAACGTGCGGAGCCTGGCTCGGGGACTGGCAGCCGAGGTGCCGGACGGATCGGGCACCTCCGAGCTCCTGCAGATGACGGAGTCGCTGCAGCAGGATTACAGCTCGGTCACCCAGCAGCTGCAGGAGAGGTGCTCGTTCCTGGAGAAAAAGCTCCAGGGAATCAGCCGGTTCCAAAACAACATCCGGGAGATGTTCTCTCTCTTCGCCGACCTGGACGATGAGCTCGACAGCATGGCTCCCGTGGGAAGGGACCTGCAGTGCCTGAGCTCGCAGAAGGAGGGCATCAGTGAGTTCATCCTCAAGCTTCAGGGGCTGATGAGTGACATTGAGCGCGCAAGTGTGGAAAGCAAGCAGATGTTGGAGTCGGCCAGCTCTCCCGATCTACTGGGCCTGAAGCGAGACCTGGACGCTTTGAGGAAGCAGTGCAACAAGCTGCTGGACAGAGCGACGGTCAGGCAGGAGCAGGTGGAAAGCACGCTCGCCCGCGTGCAGGAATTCTGCGCTAAGATCAAAAACCTCGGAGAGCTGCTCACCATCGCCGAGAATCACGAGGAGCAACAGGGCTGCGTCGGCATGGAAACCGATGTCATCAACCAGCAGGTGGAATCATTCAAGGTACGGTGACGCCTCTCCACGTGATTGTCAGGTTGTTGTGCGGAACCGTTAGGGACCTTGGCGTCAGCCTGGCTCAGTTGGGCGCACTCTTAACACGACGACAGATTCTATCTGCACAGAGCGCCCGCCGTTCATGTCAGGAGGTTGTCGCAAGGCGCACTAAACCAGAAGGTTGTGGGTTCAAGCCCCACGTCCAGGGGCTGGTTCTCAGCTCATTGTCGAGGCTGACGCTCCAGTGCAGTGCTGGGGGAGCCCCACACATGGTCAGAGGTCTGTCTTTTGGATGAGATGTTAAACCGTCTGCCTGCTCAGGTGGACGTTAAACATCCCACGGTACTATTTGTAAAGAGATGGGAGTTTCTCCCGGCCCGGTCTTTATAAAGAGCTCTTTATGAAGGGTGTTATGTAATCATTTTCCTTTGAGAAGTTGTCGTTGTTGTTGCATTTTACATTCTTTGCATTTCACATCCTCACTGACCTTTGCGTGAAGTTTTGTCTTCTGATTTCAATTAAGTTATTTCTGCTGACGGGAATGATTGATTGTGTAGTATTTTGATTCTTCAGTGTAATTACAGCTTTAACCTGTGCCAAACAGCTGGCAAATGATCGAAGCTTTGAATGCAGTGATGTATTTTATGTGAGATGGTTGTCTTAAAAGTCAGAAACCACATTGGGGTTTTCGGAGATGCCGACAATCATTGCCAAGGCTCACACATAATAAAAATAATAATATTCCTTGCATCTGATATATTGCCTTATTACGTCACTGAGATGCCTCAAAACTCTTCAGAGAATATATTGTTAAGTGAATTGACTGTATTTTGTGGGCAAAATGCCCAAGTGGCCATAGTTCATGGGTGCTGGAGGGAGCCAGGTCCTGTGGAATCGCACCCCAGAATGAGGAGGCCAGACCGGGAGCAGAGAGGTGTATACCAGTGAGGAGACAATAAAAAAAACAATGGGGATACAAACATTTTTAAAGCAAAAGAAGGCTTGATGGGAAAATCATCTTTTTTTTCCCCAACCCCAGCTCAGATGCCCAGGCATTATTCTTAAGCACTGTGGGACATCCTCCTGACATGAAAGGCGCTAACCAAATGTAATTTGTTGTTGTTATTGATATGTTGGGCATAAAATACAAAAGTAAGGAGGTTATGATGAACTTTTATAAGACACTGGTTAGGCTTCAGCTAGAGTATCGTGTTCAGTTCTGGGTACCACACTTTAGGAAGGATGTCAAGGTCTTGAAGAGGGTGCAAAGGAGATTTACCAGGTTGGTACCAGAAATGAGCGGTTTCATTTATAAGGAGAGGCTAGAGAAGCTAGGATTATTCTCCTTGGAGCAGAGACTTTTAAGGGGAGATTTAATAGAGGTGTTCAAAATAATGAGGGGATTCGGTAGGGTGAACAATGAGAAATTGTTTCCACTGGCGGATGGGTAGGTAACCAGAGGACACAGATTTAAAATAGTTACCGAAAGAAACAGTGGGGAGGAGAAATTTTTTTACACAGCGAGTTTTTCGGATCTGGAATGCATTGCCTGAAAGGGGGGTGGAAGCCAATCCGATAACAACTTTCAACATAGAAGTAGATAGATACTTGGGGTGGACAAATTTGCAGGGCTATGGGGAGAGTGCGGGTAATGCGATTCATTTAGATAGCTCTTTCAAAGAGCTGGCACAGACACGATGAGCCGAATGGCCTCCTTCTGTGCTGTATAATTGTATGATTCTATGTCAGGAAGAGAATCCAAGGTCCTGGCTTGGCACCTGAGCTGGGACTGGGAGCCAAGGAAGGGGAATTTTTTTTTATTTTTTATTTTCCCTTATTAATTTTTCTTTACTTTAAATTTTATTTAATTCTCCTTCCCCCCCAACCCCAAGAAATTGAATGAAAGGTGCATTATAAGTGTAAATATGTATCTTGTGGTACAAAATAGGATGGAGGCAGGTGTCTGTGAGCAACAGGTGATCATGCAACTGTTGTGTTCTTATGGTGTTTATGAACCCTGTCAGATGTCTGGTGCGCTGCTGGCTTGATCTCATGAGAAACCCGAGTACTTTGGGATTTCTCTATGACTAATCTCACTGGGATAGATGCAAGTGACCAAGAGAGAGGTTCAGATGGATGGAGAAGGTCCTTCGGCCCTTTTTGATTTCATCCTTACAGAATGTCCCCCCTCTAGCCCCACTATTACAGTATCAAGTAGTTTCTTAAGTGAATCAATCCTCCATCGAATCTGTTATAAAATGTCACAAGTTTATAATAATAATAAACCTTGCATTTGATACAGCGCCTTATCACGTCGATGAGACGGCTCATAGCGCTTCACAGAATATATTGTAAAATGAGTTGACTGTGTATTTTTTGTGTGTGTTTAGGCTCCGCTCCCTCTTACTCTAGTATAAGCGAGAGACCTGAGTTCAATTCCAGACAGGGCGAAACCTTGGGCAAGTTTCCTTACTCCACACGCCTAATAATAATCCCTCAAAAAAAAAACAATAATAAATTGGTCATTTTCAATCCACGACTGTTTGTGGGACACTGCTGTGTGCAATTGGCTGCCTCGTTCGCCCACAAATCTACAGTCAATTCACTTTACAGTATATTCTGTGAAGCGCTTTGGGACGTCGAGAAGACGTGAAAAGCGCTATATCAAATGCAAGGATTATTATTATTATTATATAATGGAGCTAAGGTCTGGTTTTGCAGAACCTTCCTTCAAGGACTGTCTTGTCAGCTGATACATGTAGTCAGGTATTTTATGCCCCATGTGTAAAATGAACGTAAATGTATGCGTTTTGCGCTTTGTGCAAACTCACGTGAACCGAGGAATGTAGCGGCGTAGGCAATTAAACTTAATTAAGAAAAGGATAGGTTGTTAACAGCATTATTGAGGGCGCCTGTAAATCACTCTCAACACATGACTTACGCATGGGAGGTAATATTAACACTTATTAATAATATTAACACTTTGGATGGAACTCCATCCCAGAGCTCCTCCGCCTCACCCCCTCCCTTTTTCCCTTCAAGGCCCATCTCAAGACATTCCTTTTCAACCGTGCCTTTGGTCATCTTCCCTCCGCCACCCTGTCCTTCTCCCTTCTCCCTTCTCTGTCCTTCTCCCTTCTCTGATCCCAATCTGCAGCTCGGGTGCAAACTCCTCACTGTCCAGCACCTTGGGATGTCCTCCCGACATTAAAGCCGCTATATAAATGCAATTTGCTGTTGTTGTAATGGATCTTAGTGTCAATATGTGACTGATATGTGTCCATGTGCTCAGTCCTGTAGCTCAGTGGTTAGAGCACTCGCCTTGCAAAGCGAGAGACCTTGGCTCGATTCCCGGCAGGGTGAAATGTTGGGCAAATTTCTTTACTCCACACGCCTCTGTTTAGCTAGCAGTAAGTAGGAACCCGATTGTTAGTCGATTGGTGGATCGCTTTTCTTGAGGAAATAATTCCTTCAAAAAAAATAATAATGGATTGGTCACTCAAACTATGACTGTTTGAGGGACGCTGCTGTGCGCAATTGGCTGCCGCTTTTCGCCCACAAAATGAACAGTCAATTCACTTTACAGTATATTCTGTGAAGCGTCTTGAGACGTCTTGAAGTCATGATAAGGCGCTGTATCAAATACACACAATGCAAGGATCATTATTGTATTATTATGTGTGGATCGCAGGATTGTGTGTATTGCTGACAAGGGCAGAATTCTTGCAGCAACAAGGTTTGATGTCTGAGCCAAAACAAACCCTGCTCAGGACTTGCACCTCCTGCAATATGAAGTCATAGATTGGAGGGATATTTTTAGCAAATGAACTCTTCCTTGTAAAATCCCCATGAGTTGTATCCTTAGTTACATTTTGTTGTGTTGCGGGCATCTTGTTGTTTGTTTCCTGTGGGTACTTTCTTCCACTCTATTTTCCGCTTCACCATTGTCCCTTGTTTTTACTTCAATATGAATGTTTAGGCCTAATTTATGACCGTGTCCATTTAAATCGCATTTTTATTTTTGCCTTGCTCTGTGTTTGACCTGGACAGACACAAACCACTTGCCGTACTTTTGAGTGTCCAGTTCCAGCTACTAACAATTTGCAGAATTCATGTCCTGTAACTATGAATTGTACATGACCTCCTCTCCCTTTCCAATCCCCTCCATTGTCTTATTTCTTCTTCTTTCCATCCACCCCCCCACATCTCCTAATAATAACAATAAATTACATTTGTCTAGTGCCTTTCATGTTGGGAGGACATCCCAAGGTGCTGGACAGTCAGGGATTTGGACCCAAGTTGGGGATTGGGATCAGGAGGAGTGGAGGGCTGGGAGGGTAGAGGTATGGGGGTGACCGAAGGCGCGGTCCAAGAGGAGGGTCTTGAGACAGGGCATGAAAGAGGCAATGGAGGGTGAAGGGACTGTGGGATGGAGTTCCAAAGGGTGAGGGCTGAAAGGCTGAAGGCCCGACCGCCAATGGCGGGCTGGGCTGGGCGTGATGTACGAGAACACAGTGGAGTTGTCAAAATTCAAAGTGTTTGGGACTTCTAAATATATACTTGGGTTACCGCTGAGATTAAATTTGCTTCATTTTGAAAGCTTTCTAAAAATGTTTTCTTTCGAAACCTTCTCCATTTTTAATCTATTTATTCTAATTTTGTTTCATGTTCCTGAATCTATCTGCATATGCGATAGGGATTTACACATCATGCCGAAGTATAATTTTCCTCTTGCATGTGTTTGTCCTTATCCCGATTGTATCATTCTGGATTTACTCTCTGTTCCATTTCCAAATGCAGAAGGAGGAAATAAATGTCAGTTGTCAACCCGGCTCAGTTGATATCATCCTCACCTCTGAGTCAGAAGGCTGTGGGTTCAAGCCCAATGTCGGGACTTTGAGCTCAGAGTTTAAGGGTGTTCCAGTACAGTGCTGGGGTTGTGATGAATTGTCCTTTGGAGGAGACTTTAAACTGAGTTTCTGTCTGTGCCTGTTCAGGTACCAGTATTT